AGTGCTGTAACCCAAGTAAACAAATTTGATTTTTGAGGATTAATTTTGGCTCCCTATTTTAGCCTAGTTTTTATGCTTGCATAGAATTTTTCTACAGTACTAGCTGGGATGACTGCGGTGGAGTGATGGAAGACTTTTTTATATGTATAGTGTCATCCTTTCAATAGTTTCATGTCCTCTTGTAGGAGAGGGGAGCACTTACTCATGAACTGTCCTTCTGGGTTCTTGATTTTTCTTTTTTTCCCTGATAGGGGTAGAAGTTTTTCATGTGAATATGTATTCCTGCTAGGCTCTGCAAACAAGACACCAGAGACCATCAGCATACTTAAGAGCCAGCATTCATCTTTGTGTCAAGAAGATAATTAGTAACTAACATAGTTATTTCTGTTTCTCTGTCTTTAACTTCTAAGTCACTATATATCCCAACATAAGTATAATCTGGAAATGCTATCTATGTTCAAAGCTATCTATCTCCTTTAAAAATGTGTCTTGGTTTCCCATTAAACTCAAGGAAGTGTTTCTACCTGTCCACGCAATGCAAAGATACAGGTATGTTCTTAGGATATCTTTTCATGGAAGACAGGTGGTGGTGGTTGGGGGGGATAGGCCCCAAAGCTAGTAGGTTGGTGTCTCTCTTGGCCCCCTATACAGTCAGTGAAGAGACAAGGATTCCTGCAGAATGCAGTTCAGAGCAGAAACCCTAATGTAGGTGGTTGGAATTGTGGAGACAGATGACTTGGGTGCATTCTTTGTGAAGCACAGCTGAGGAGAATACAGAATCACAGAATAATTGGGGTTGGAAGGGACCTCTGGAGATCATCTAGTCCAACCCCCCTGCTCAAGCAGGGTCACCTAGAGCACGTTGCCCAGGACCCTGTCCAGGCAGCTTTTGAATATCTCCAAGGATGGAGACTCTACAACCTCTCTGGACAACCTGGTCCAGGGCTCAGTCACCCTCACAGGAAAGAAGTTTTTCCTCATGTTCAGATGGAACTCCCTGTGTTTCAGTTTGTGCCCGTTGCCTCTTGTCCTGTCTCTGGGCACCACTGAGAAGAGTCTGGCCCCATCCTCTTGACGCTCTCCCATCAAATATTTATGCACATTGATCAGATCTCCCCTCAGCCTTCTCTTCTCCAGACTGAATAGGCCCAGCTCCCTCAGCCTTTCCTCATAGGAGAGATGCTTCAATCCCTTTAATCATCAATACCTACTTAAGTCAGATGCCTGAAGTAAAATGATACAATTTCTCACCTCATTGCAAGTCTGTGCCCTAGCAACACTTCTAAGGGTTATAAGGTTGGTAGTTATAACTTATGAGAAAGGAAACATGCCTGTACCTAATTATCCAGGCAAGCTACTGGTGCAGGGCAGTTCGGAACATTAGGGTTCCTGTTCAGATGCTTTAGGACCTGGGATGTAAAAGGAACTGGGAAGAGTCAACTTACTGTTTTTCAGAATCTTCAGCGCAAACAGAACTCAATCATACAAATGATATGTAAATATCATATATAAATGTAAAGATTGGAAACCAAATTTCCTAATGCTGGAGAGAAAACAAAAGATTAAACCACCATTGCTTCACTACTGTCCAGTAATCCTTCGGCTTAAGGATGTTTCTGTTGTCCTCTTCATCAGGCTATCCTATTATTGCTCTACATAGAAAGATCTAGTCTGTTCCTAGAGAGGGAAATCTACATAGAACACCCTTACAGAACCTTGTCTTAAAATGTGAGGGAAATGAAATCAGATAAGAAAATAAACTTCATAGAATCATACAATGATTTAGGTTGGAAGGTACCACTGGAGCTCTCTAGTCCAATACCCTGCTCAAAGCAGGGCCAGCTAGAGCAGGTTGCTCAGGGCCCTGTTCAGTCAAGGTTTGAATTCTTCCAAGGATGGAGATTCTACAATCTCTCTTGGGCTCCTGTTCCAATGTTTGACCATGAAGGATGGTCAAAAATTTTTTTCCGACTATCTAATCAGAATTTCCTGAATTACAGCTTGTGTCTGTTGCCTCTTGTCCTATTACTGTCATCTTTGAGAAGAATCTGGCTTTGTCTTTTCTATGCCCTCCCATTAGGTAGTTTTAGACAGCAGTTAGATCCTTGCTGAGTCTTCTCCTCTCAAGGCTAAACGAACCCAGTTCTCTCATCTTCTCTGTGTACATTGTGTGCTCCAGCTCCCTGACCATTTTGGTGCCCCCCACACTGTACTTGCTCCAGTATGTCTATGACTGTCTTGCCCTGGGAAGCCCAAAACTGGACACAGGACTCCAGGCATGGTCTTATGAATGCTGAATAGAGGAAAAGAATCTCTTCCCTTGACCTGCTGGCTATGCTCTTGCTAACACAGCCCAATATGCAGTTGGCCTTCTTGGCTGCAAGGGCACGCTGCTGCCTCCTGTTCAACTTGTCCACCAGGACCCTGTTGCACAGAGAAAGTCAAGGCAGGTTGATATGCACAAAGTTTTATTTGCAGGGCCCATAGCTGATGGCACACATTGACTTCAAGGTTACCCTGGGAAAAACAGGGACAGAGAGAGAGAAAGGAAGGAAAATTCTCCCCAGTGGCCAGCTAGGAAGAGAAGCAGTGGGGGTCCCCAGGTGAGCATCCTTTCGAGTGCAGCAGGGGAATCTCAATTGCATCCAGGGGGGAGAGGGAGGGAGTGACAGCCCCCAACCATTTCCCCCCCAGTACAATTATACCTTTCATTGATACTCACTCAAGTTTCCTATTGGCAGTCTTTGACACTATTGGCACTGATTGGAATATGCTTAATTAGGTGCAAGTGTTGCACACTAATTGGCTACTAAGCCTTGTACACATCTGTTACCAGGTAATATTTATCAGATATTAAAATTACTGTTATTTCCTTATTATCTATCATGTTTGTTCTAATATGGAGTCAACAGTCTAGAAGCTACCAGGTGGATGGAAGGGAGGGAACTTTAGTACAGAGCTATAAACTAAAACTGCAAAGCAACGCAGGGAGAAGATAGAGGAGAAACAGAATGACTTAGAAATAGGAAACAATCTCTTTCTCAGGGAATAAGACATAAATGATTCAAAATGCACCAGTGTAAGGCCATGAGGATAAGAGCACTTGAGATAACAGGCCCAAGGTGCTGCCATAGCAGCCTCAGGGTATGCAGGTGAAAGGTTGCAAGGGAAAAGGCAGGCTAAAACTGCAAATGGAAGGCCTTTAGCAAATACACAAGTTAAAGAACTGAAACACTGTGCAACAACCCCCAGGTCCTTTTCTGCAAAGCTGCTTTATAGCAGCATTTTGAATCTTACTTGATTCAAATAAGGCTTATGGGGGAGAGGGGAAAAGAAGTATTTTCAAGCCTAGTGCTTTTCATTTCATTACTCTCTTTTGGGATATTTTCAAAATTCATCTCAATGTTCTTGTTGCTAAGCTGGATTTAAATTCTGTAGCATGGCCCATTGGTTTCTGCGGTGCTTTCTGCAGCAGCTTAAGGTAAATTACAAACTGGAAGGTTTTTAATGAATCAAGTTTGAAACTGATATTCCAATCAGTACAGTATTCTTTGCAATGATATGAAAATAATTTGATATTTTAATTCTTAAATTTGCTGTAGACTTTGTTTATGACAGTGCATGACAACTGAGAGAAGTGGTAGGGACTGGACTGTTTGGCAATCATCTAGGAAATTCTTGAAGTTCTTACACCAAAAATAATGTGTTTGGTGGCAGGAGAGGGAGACTACACCTGAAGATAAACTAATGATTTGTGTACATCCCATTAAAAGAGAGACAGGAATAGCTGTGGTCTGCAGATTGTTATGTAGCATCTCTAGTTCTCATCTTAGGTTGTTGGAGTGTTTGGTATGTCTTTTTAGATGTCTAGGTAAATGTCTATTTTAGTATAACTTTAGGTTCAATGATTACAAAGACAATGCTAAACATTTCCTGAGGATGTTTTATATGTATGCTTGTAGTTGGTCAGTTTTTGACTCCTGGTTTCCATAAGGGGTGGGTTTAGTAGGAATGAGAAGGTCAGACCATTACCACTTTTGAGTTCAAGGCTCTCCTATATCTTTCAGGATGAATATCCCATTCCATTCTTAGACTTCTCTCTGGGAAGAAACTGAGTTTAGCTTTCAGCAGTTCTCATTTTGACTATGTTGGAGTTCATAATTTGTCCTTGAATATCAGTATAGTGCCTCCTAATTTATTTTCTGCTGTGTTTACTCAGGTCTTTTTGGAAGATAAATAACTTAAAGAGGCTCTCCACTGCCAAAAGTTATTTTATATATATATAAGCTCATGTCAGGACAACAGGATGCTGTTGTCAGTAGTAGGCATCTTGTGAATCCTAATCACCTACTCTGTAAGAGGACAGTATGCTATTTAGGTCTGAGATAAGATGAATTGAATTGGGAAATGATTACCCAGGACAATTCAACTCTAAACCATTCTCTCCATCCCTCTTCAGGAAGTATTTATGGAAACTATTTAAACTTATTTATTTAAAGTAATTAGAGGTGCATGTTTCTAGAGAGTAAGAAGAGTCACCAGGATATTTCAAGAAAAGGGGAGAGGAAAAGAAAATTTTAATTTTTAAAAAACCAAAACATCCTAAGATAAAGAAGTACTCTAGAGAAGACTTCCTTTAGAAAACCATAGTATCTGATCTAAAGCCCATTCAGTACAATGTGGTGTGTAGTTTTGTTTTTTTTTTCTTTTCATAGACTTAATTGGGTTCCATTGCTTCATGTGGACTTGTGATCACATCTAGAAATTTGATCACAAGGGACCATCTCATAACTTCCATGATGCTAATTTAAACTGTTCAGCCAGAAATTCTCATTGGCATGCAAATAGATATATATTGTATGATTCTTGATGGTGGGCTGTGGGAAGTTTTTTTTTTGTGATTGTCTACTCTGTGGCCTTATTGTATTTGTGTAACAGCATCATCTATTTAGGTGTTTCCTGCATTTTTAATATATTTCCTTCCTCTCCATGTGAAATAGGTAAGCAACTTGAAGAAAATTTTAAAAGGGATATTGGATTATAACCATGAGGTAAGAACAGTCTTAAGTAATCTACATTTACTTTCCTTTTATTATTCTCTTCAATGTACAATGTAGTCTATTGATTTATTAGGGCTGGACTTTTTCAATGTTGGGCATCCAAGATGTCTTGTAGCCTGTTCTAATGTGTTAGCCCTCTCAAACTTGATTGCCTGCATTACCATAGAATCATGTATGTTGGAAGGGACCTCCAGAGGTCATGTAATCCAACCTTCTGTTCAAAGCAGGGCCAACCAGAGCAGGTTGCTCGGGGTCTTGCCCAGTTGGGGTTTGAATACCTCCAAGGATAGAGATCTCACAACCTCTCTGGGCCCCTGTTCCAGTGTTTGACCACTCTCATGGGGCAAAATGTTTTTCCTTATATCAAATTGGAATTTCCCATTGTTGCAACTTGTGTCTGTTGACTCTTGTCCTATCGCTGTGCATCCCTGAGAAGCATCTGGCTCCATATTCTCTATACCTTCCCATTAGGTAGCTTTAGACATCGATAAGGTCTTCCCTGAGCCTTCTCTTCTCAAGGTTGAACAAATCCAGTGCTCTCAGCCTCTCCCTGTACATCATGTGCTCCAGTCCCCAACCATCTTTTTGGCCCCCCACTGGACTCACTCCAGTATGTCCATGTCTGTCTTGTACTGAGGAGCCCATAACTAGACACAGGACTCCAGGTGTGGTCTTACAAATGCTGAATAGAGGAGAAGAATCTTTTCCCTTGACCTGCTGGCTATGCTCTTGCTAACGTAGCCCAATATGCAGTTGGCCTTCTTGGCTGCAAGGGCACGCTGCTGCCTCCTGTTCAACTTGTCCACCAGGACCCCCAAGTCCTTTTCTGTAAAGCTACTTTCTAGCCAGTTGGTGCTCAGCCTTTACTGTTGCAGGGTGTTATTTCAGCCCAGGTGCAGGACTTGACATTTGTCCTTGTTGAATTTCATGAGGTTCCTGCCAGCCCATTTCTCCAGCCTGTCCAAGTCCCTCTGAATATCAGCCCTGCCCTCCAGCATATTGTTTGCTTCCCCCAATTTGGTATTGTCTATGAGCTTGCTGAGAGTGCACTCCATTCCATTGTTCAGGACTTTTAGTAAAGATATTAAACAGTACTGGCCTCGGTATCCATCCCTGAGGGATGCTGCTAGTTACCCTGCCAGTTGGACTTTGTACCACTGATCTCCTGGATTGTTTGCTCCCAGCCATGTTGCCCTTCCAGCAGATATCTGGGTGGTTTAATTCTCCAGGGCCTGTGATTGTGAAGCTTCTTTTCACTTTCTAAGAAAGGCTTCATATACTTCTCAATTGGGCTGTCTGTAGAAGGCTCCTACCACAGTGTCACCTGTGTCAGTGTCTGTCCGCTGAACTTGACCCACAGATGCCTGACTGGCTCGTCACCTGTTCCAAGGCAAAGGTCCATGCATTCAAGCTGCTCCTTTGTGTAGAGCACATCCCCTCCTCTTTGCTTTCCCAGCCTGACCTTCCTGAAGAGCCTGTATCCATCCATGGCAACGCTCCAGTCATGTGAGCTATCCCCCCCCGCCCCAACTTCTCTGTAATCCCAGAGAGATCAGAGCTCTGCAACTGTGCATGGACTTTAATTCCTCCTGTTTGTTGCCCCATGCTGTATGTATTTGTGTACAGGCACTTGAGACGAGGCCCAGTTGTGCTGCTTTCACAGAGAAACTGAGAGCTGTCCTCCAGACACTTCCTCGCTGCCCCCATGCCTTCATGCATTTTCTAAAACAAATGAGTACTTGAAGTTAGATTTGTAAGTCCATATTCAGTAAATGTTCAGCGCTCCCCCCCCGCCCAGGGTTGAATATCCATGCTGAGGTTGCAATTTTGAGAATTGATGTTTGAGGAAATGTTTTATGTCCTGACTCAGCTGATCATAGTTGACCTTATTAGAAGGCCATAAGTACATTTTAGAATAAAATTTTTGTGGGTTTTGACATAAGTTTTTCAGTATGGGTCCTATACTTGCCCCAGTGCACAAAGTCTGCAAATACTTTCACTTTTCATTGGATGTTTTAAAATAATCTTTCATTATAGTCTTTTGTTAGATATTTCTATTTTGAAGAATGCCAAAGAACAGTTTCTTTATAGTTTCTTAATTAATGAGTGTTGATACATTATAATTAAATTGTTCTGTCATAGAATATTAATATGGCTATGACAAAATGATGGCAGCTTCTTTTCAGCTAGTTGGTATGTATGATTGTTAAGTTTCTGATATGACAACTTTATTATATTGCTAAGTCAGCAAGCTGCAGGCTATAATGATTGATTTACTAAATTGTACAAAGGTAAAGTACATCTATAAGTATGACCCCATTTCCCCCCTCTGCTGAAGTGATGATTGTAGTGATAGTGATGTACTTTATTTTGCTACTGATCGTACTTATATTTTTGTTATCTGGGTGTCCCCCCCCCCGGCAAAGCCTTTTTGCAAACTATATAGTTGGTTTTTACCTAGTACAGCCAAGAGGAGAGTCTCTCAGCAGCTATCTTACACTGGCTGTCTTGTCTATTCTAATATGGAAGAACAGCAAGCTAAAGGTTCCTATTCAGACTCTTGTATGCTTTATGAGGCCCCTGGAATCTTGCTGCTTTGGAATCTAAACTTTCATTCTTTTTGTAAAAGATCCTAGTATTTGTTTTCTTCAAATAAATGAAAGGTGCTCACTTTCATCACAAAATATTTATTCTGGAGCCCAATCTTCCTTTTGTTGTACATCTCATTGAGTTTTGTTGCTGTATTAAACTTGTCTGCATCACATTTATTTCATAATCCTAAATCTGCTTCTTTGCTTCCCCCATTTCTTAATAGTTCAAGCCAATATACCTCTTCTCTTCAGCTTCCCCCAACAACTTCTACAAAGCAACTGTATTATCATTAATAGAAAAAAAACAACAACATCATTGCATTAAAAATGCAGGTAATACAAGTAAACGAATGTCAAACTTAAACCATTTAAATAATGGTGTGTTTGATTGTATTAATGCATTTTATATAATAGCAACATTTTATATTGTACTTAATGCTTCCATAAAATTCTTATTTTCTTACTAGGGACCAAAAAATGAGTCATTTTATAGAAAACTGGTCCCAAAGTCTTTAAAATACTCAGATTTTTAGTAGTGTCTGTGTTCATTTTTGAGCAAGTCTTTAAAAAACAAACCCAAACAAAAAAAACCTCCACCCCATGATTCCTCCAAAGCCCAATCCTGGAAACTTTTCAACAACTTGATTTCTACATCTGTTAAACAGTTTTCATATAAATACCTTGACCTGCTTTGCTATTTTTCTTGCATATTAAAAAAAAAAAGCAACATTCAGAAAATAAATGAGTGACTCCTGTAGTCATTGTTTCTCTATTACATCTACTTTTGGCAGTTTCTTTTTATCTACAATTAAAGTTTCAGGAACGTAATTAATTGCACATTTCATATTCATATTTTCAGCCCCCTGAAAGCTTTCAGAACAGAGTTGTTTAATTCCTTGTACTGATAATCATTAACATAAATTCTTCCTAATTGTAAATCATTTTACAGTAATTGTCACATGTTTTTCTTCTTTCTCTTAGAGACAATTTATATTCACTTTTGCGCTTTCACAAACTTGCTCACGCTCCCTATGGCTCACATTTGCACTCTCGCTCTTTCAATCATGCTTTTGCTCGCACTCTTTCTCGCTCGCATGCACGATTGCTCTTGATCGCATGGGTGCTTTCCCTCTCTCGCTCCCCGCCTCGCTCCCCCCTCGCTTCCCCGCTCCCACTTCCACCCCTACCCGCTTCCTCCTCCTTCGCTCCTCCTCGCCTCCTCGCTCCCGCCCCGCCTCCCCGCCTCACTTCCCTGCACTCCGCCTTGCGCTCTCCCCCACCGCCGCCCCCCCTCCCCCCCCGTGCGCCTTCTGTCTCGCACGCGACTTCTCTCTCACTCCTGTGCCTTCTCTCTTGCACTCACTTTTTCTCTCGCTCTTTCGCTCGCTTCTCTCTCTTTTCTCTTGCTTGCGCACTTTCTCTCTCACTCTTTTGCTCAATCTCACTCCTTCGCTTACTTTCCGTCTCATTCTCTCGCTTTCTTGCTCTCTTTTGCTTTTTCTCTCCCTTTTCTCTCTTGCTTTTCTCTCGCTTTTTCTCACTTGCATGCTCGTTCTCACTTTGTCTTTTGTCACTTTTGTGCTCACTTTGTCTTGCTTGTTCACACTTTCCATCTCATTCTCTCATTTTCTTGCACTTTTACTTTTTCTCTCACTTTCTCTCCCTCTCCCTGTAGCTCTTACACTCGATCTTGTGCTCTTGTGTTATCTATGCTCGCTCTCGCTTCCCCCCTTCCCTCTCTCACTTGCTCCCTCTTTCTCACTTCCCCCCTCTCGCTCTCCCTCTCTTATGGGCTTTTCTCTTGCTTTCTGTCTCATTTCTCTCACTGTCTTGCTTTCTTGCTCTCTTGCTTTCTCTCGCTCTTGTGCTCTCTCACACTCGCTCTTGCGCTCTCTTTGCATTCTCTCTTGTGCTCACTCTTACACTCTCGTTTCCCCCACTCTCTCTTACTTTCCCTCTATCCCTTGCCTTCCCTTTCTCTCTTCCTTTGCTTTCTCTTGCACTCTCGCTTCTCTTGCTTTCTCTAGCTTACTCGCACAATCTTGTACTCTCACGCTCGCTCTTGCACTTGCTCTTGTGCTTTCTCTGTCCCTTTCTCTTGAATGCTTTCCATCTCTCTCTGTCCATTCCTCTCACTTTTGATTTCTTTCACTTTCTCTCCCTCTCATTTTTAAATCTCTCGCTTCTCTCTCTTGCTTTCTCACTTTCGCATGCTCTCTAATCATGCTTGCTCTCGCAATCTCTCTTGCACTCGCACTCTCTCACTTTCTTGTGCTCACTCCCATGCTTTCTCTCCCCCCCTGCTTTCTCTCATGCCTGCTTTCTCACTTTTCTTGCATTTTCTCTTGCTTTCTCACTCTTTTTCTCAGTTTCTCTCTTGCTTGCTTTCCATCTCTCCTGCTTTCACTTTTTTCCTCTTGCTTGCCTTCTCTCCTCTCTTGCTTCTCTCGATTGCTTGCTCTTGTGCTTGCTTTCGCAGTTGCTCTCATGCTTTTTCTCTTTCTCTCTATTGCTTTTTCTCTTGCTGTTTCACTCGCTTTTTCTCTCTCACTCACTTTGTCTTGCTTTTTTTGCTTTCTCTCGCTTGCTCTCTTGCTTGCTCTCCCTTTCTTTCCCTCTCTTGCTCACTCATGCTTTCTTTCTCATGCCTTCTCTCTCTTGCTCTCTCACGCTTTCTCTAGTGCTTTTGCTTGTTTGCTTTCTCTGCCTCTCTCTCGCTTTCTCACTTTTTCAGTCTCGCACATTCTCACACTCGAGCTCACTAATTATGCTTGTTCTTGCGATCTTGCTCTTGCACTCTCACTTTCCCTCACTCGCTTTTTCTCTCTCTACCTTTGTCACTTTCTCTCTCTTCTCTATTACTTTTTCATGTGCACTCTCGCACTCAGTAATCATGCCTGCTCTTGTGATCTTGCTCTTGTACTTGTACTTTCTCTCTCTCTCACTTTCTTGCACTTTCTCTCTCTCGGTCACTTTCTCTCACATGCACGCTCTCTCACTTCTCTTGCATTCTCTCTGTCTCGCTTTCTCTCTTGATTCTCTTGCTGTCTCTCTTTCTCTTTTTATTGCTTGCTTTCTTTTTAGCACTGTCGCGCTTGCTCTCTGTCAGTCACTTTCTCTGTCGCTCACTTTCTCTCCTTTGTTTTATCTCTCTCTTGCTTGCTTTCTCTCCTGCTAGCTTTCTCTCACCTGCTTTCTCTTTCTCTCACTCCCTCTCGATTTCTCTTTCTCTCTCGCTGTCTTGTGGTCTCGCATATGCTCTCGGGATCCCCAGTTGCTCACATGATCTTGCTCTCATGCTCTCGCATGTGCTCACGCACTTTCTCGCACTCGTGCTTTCTCTTGCTCATTTTCTCTCTCGTGTGTACACTCTCACTTTCTCTCTCACATCTCTTGCTTTCTCTCTTGTGTGTGTGCTTTCTCTCTTTTAATTTCCCTCTCGCTCTCCTTTGCTCGCTTGCTCGCTCTCTCTCACATTCTCACATCTCATGCTTTCTCTCTCCCTCTCTTGCCTTCTCTTTCTCTATATTGCTTTGTCTCACTTGCTTTCTAGCTCGCCTTCTTGCTCACTCCCTTACACTTTCGCTTTCTCACTCATGCATGCTTTCTCTCACTTGTCTCTTGCTTTCTCGCTCTCTTGCTCTTTCACTTTCACTTTCTCTTGCTCACTTTCCCTCTCTCACTCTTTTGCTTTTTCTTTTTTGCTTTTTCTGCCTCTCTCACTTTCTCTTTCTTGCTTTCTCCCTCACTTGCTCTTTTGCTTTCTTTCACTCGCACGCTCTCTTGCTTTTTCTTGTGCACGCTCTCGCTCTCTTCAGTCTCTCTGTTTTTACACTTGCTCTGTTTAATTGTGTGTTGTACCGCTACTTCAAATTCTTTTCTAATGGATGAGAAATTGATTGTTCTGGCTCTGGACTTGCTAAGTATCCTTAGACTAGACCTACAAAACTGTTAGATCGAATGTTTTACGATCTTAGATTTGTCACCCATTCATCCTAGATGTGTTTCATATAAAAGAAATATTTAATTTCTTACTTTCCAAAGGTATGATTTAGAGACTCGCATATACTGTATTCCAGATGGAATATTTTTAGGCATTAGATTTTTTTAAAATAAAAAACTTAATAAAATAAAATAAAAACTTCATCAAGTTGATCAGGTTTTTTAAGCCTGCCTATGTTACCTTTCCTTACCTGGAAGAATAAGTCTTGTTCTTGATAAATTTTAAACTAATAATTTCTTATTAGTTGAGACAGCTGTGTTCAGGCTTTCCCAAATGTCAGCTCTGTCAAGTGATATGGATGGTCTTATATTTTGAAATATGTGTATGAGCTGATCTTATGCAATTTATTAATTTATTTTTTTAAGATGGATTTGAAAATTATGCCAAAGTAGAAAGTGAGTTCTTCCTATTGACTCTGAATCATCTTTGTATTTTGTAATGTATGTGTATGTGTATATATAGTGCTGTACATATGTATGATGTACTGTGTCTTTATGCAGATTCTAGGGCAACAGATTAATGACTTCACCCTTCCTGATATTAACCTGATTGGAGAGCACTCTGATTCTGCAGAGCTTGGGAGAATGCTTCAGCTCATCTTGGGATGTGCTGTGAATTGTGAACAGAAACAAGGTATTAAATTTTGAAAGTATGTTTTGCTTCCAGGGCAGTTAATGAAAATCTAACTTGCTTTTTAAATCACCTAGGGAAAATGATATTTCTCAGGTTGCTATCAGAGACAAATTGACTCTTTCTAAATCATGACACTATTTCATTTTACAGATAACAAGTGTTGTTATGTTATGAGTTTCACTGAGTTTGCAGGCTGGACATGTGGAATTAGTTTTGCTTTCAACATGCATATTTTCAGTTTGGATTCCCTCATCTGAAAAGGAACTTCACAGACGAAAACTGTTGTCCCCAACCTTTAACTATTCATGTGTGTGGTAGCTCTGAATCAAAAGTAGTAGTTAAGAAACAAAAAATGTGGTTCACACACTCTTCTGTGTGACCATTGGGTTCAAGAACATATCCTAATATCTTACTGCATGTCAGAGAGCCATCATTGTCACCAGGTGCCATCTAGTGCCATTTGAGACACTAGGGTTTCTGAGACTTCTGCACAGGGTTGACAAATATGACACTGGAATATGGTAGCGTGTGCTATGGTACTGCTGGCCTTAGCAGTAAAGACTGAAGCAAAGGCGGCATTCAGCAACTCTGCCTTCTCTGTATCCTTCGTCATCAGGGCACCTGCCCCATTCAGCAGTGGGCCCACATTTTCCCTGGTCTTCCTTTTGCTACTGATGTATTTGAAGAACCCCTTCTTGTTGTCCTCGACATCCCTTGCCAGATTTAATTCCAAATGGGCCTTAGCCTTCCTTGTCGCATCCCTGCAGACTCTGACAGCGTCCCTATATTCCTCCCAAGGGGCCTGTCCCCTTTTCCACATTCTGTAGACTTCCTTCTTCTGTTGGAGTTTTGCCAGGAGTTCCTTGCTCATCCATGCAGGTCTCCTGTCCACTTTGCTGGACTTCTTACTCAGAGGGATGCACTGCTCTTGAGCCTGGAGGAAGTGATCCTTGAATATTAACCAGCTTTCTTGGACCCCTCTTCCTTCTAGGGCCCTACCCCAGGAGATTCCCCTAAGTAGGTCCCTGAAGAGGCCAAAGTCAGCTCTCCTGCAGCACACCTCTCCTTGTTGGCTTCTCCACCACCTGTGTCAAGAAGTTATCCTCAATGCTCTGCAGGAACCTCTTGGACTGTTTGTGCCTAGCTGTGCTCTCTTTCCAGGAGATGTGATTGTGAGGCTACTTCCAGCTGTCTGTAGAAGGCCTCATTGATGACCTCTTCCTGATCAGGTGGCCTGGAGTAAACCCCCACATCCGTGTCACCCATGTTAGCCTGCCCTTTAATCCTTACCCATAGGCTCTCAACTTGCTCTTCATCCACCCCTAGGCAGACCTCCATACATTCCAGTTGCTCCCTCACATAAAGGGCAACTCCACCACCTTGCCTTCCTGGCCTGTCTTTCCTAAAAAGCACATAGCCATCCCTGACAGCATTCCAGTCGTGTGAGCTATCCCACCATGTCTCTGTAACTGCAACGAGATCATGGCCCTGCGACCGCACACAGATCTCTAGTTCTTCCTGTTTATTCCCATGCTGCGTGCATTGGTGTACAGGCACTTCAGAGAGCCAATCGAGCACGCAGGCTTCCCAGGAGAGGTGCAAGAGGATCCTCCATAGCCATGTCCCATGCTGTCTCCCCTGGCTGCATGCACCCGCTGGAGGCATCCTGACTTGCGCAGTCAGGCAGAATACCCCAAAGGGCATCTAAAGTGACACTAGAGGCCTATATTTAAGCTACTGAATCCCACCCTAGCAGTTGTTGGAAGACATTTCTGTCTCCTATGGCTTCTGTGGTGCCAGTTCTCTATCTGACCTGCACAGGTCAAAAGAGGACCCATTCTGTTTCCTTCCAGATATGGTAGAGGATGTGCTGGATGGTTGAAGCATTTCTTAAGGTGTTCCAGGGTGTATGATGTCATCTTCTTAGCCAGTTACCTTAAATTACACTTAACTCAAGCCAGGTTAAGGTTAAAATGCAAAGTTATTCATAATGCTTAAAATAGATAAGTTGCGAGTGTTCAAAAAAGATTTAGGTGGATACATGAAAGAAAAAACTGCTTACTGTATTTACACTAAAGTTATATCAAAAACTGTCTCTCCCTAATACACTTCACTTCTGTTTCCTTTCTAGCAAAATGGTAGCTAGGGTTTCAAGCCTTTTTTCTTCCTGTTGTATGATGTATCTTACCTTTTAAGCTTTCTCTCCCCTTTCAAGTTTTCTCAGGTGTCTAAATTGATTTAAACTGTCATCCTGAGGCTCCTATTATTCTTCCCTTAAGCAGGAGAAAGTCTGGCCATCCTCTTAATTAGAACAGAGGTGATTTCCCTTATATAAGTACATAAATAACTGTTAATTTAAGCCTCCTCTCTTCCAATTGACTGCTTAGTTAACATCTCTGAATTCTAAATTCTCTAAATTCTCCCCATTCCCTTTGATAGTTTCTTGGCATTTATTAGTGAGGAATGTATCTTTCCCTGAACTTTACATATTTCAGTCTAAAAATTAAAAATATACAGGATACAGACATCTAAACTGTCTAGTTCTATGTAGTTTCATTAATTACTGTCATGCCTAGTCTCTGTGCACCAGGTAGGTGCTGGTTCTTTCTGGATCTTGGTAAGAAAGAATGCCCACTTGAATCTTTAAGTATAATATGATGTTTGGTCAGAATATTCAAAGATTCAAGCAGAATAAAAGATTAACAATTAAATGTTACATCCCTTCTGATGCTGGGAACCCCAAGATGATACAGCATCGGAAGGGATGTAAGATCAGGACATGGCATGCTACGTGGATCCTGCCCATGGTGAGGTTCACCAGCATTTTGGCCTTTAGAGCTCTTATAGGATGTTCTTAGAAGAAACCAATTCTATTCATCATTCCCACTGTCAAGCAAAATAATGTTCACATGAGAACATGCTGCTTCACTTTTAGATAAAGATGAGGACACACGGGTGACGTAATTGCCAGTGCCAAGTGGGAGCTGCCTACAGGCTCCTCTGTTATGATTAGCCAGCTAAGTTCATCCTGTGGCCAAGGAATACGTGCAGCACACCACAGGCCTGTGTCTGCTCAGGTTAACTGTTATGTGGATCACTAACTCCTTGAGGTACAATAGTCTTCCGGTTAGGATCACTACAGTCTAAATTACTTTGAACTGTCTGATTTCCAACATCTTCCCAACATGAGAAGAAGGCGGAGATATTTTTGGCATCTGTTCTACAGTTAATACTTTGCATATGGAACCTGTAGTCTGATTTATTAATTCATTTACCTGCTGTAAATTATTGCACAGTACTTCAGATCTAGAGTTAAGGATTTTACTTCTTAATCTTAACTTTTTTGTGAGGCCTTTTAATCTGCATGGTGTTTTTGGGTAGGCTTCAGTCTATGATTTTCCACCCCTTGGATTGTGTTGACCCACTGTAAAGGGGTCAGTGTGGTTAATATGACGACTATCCAGCAATATCTCAAACCTCCTGTGAGTGCAGTAGCTGGCCCCGCAGATGCCCATCTCCCAACTCAATCGCAGCGACTGACCGTTCACTGGTGAGGCCGTGCTGTGGCAACATCTGCTCTTGCCTCACAGGTGCTCTGGAGCAGATGCGTCAGTCCCCCAAAAGTGCATTGTAATCAGCAGGAGGTATGCTACATGTAACCACCTAAAGTTAGACAATGCTTAACACAGTTAGTATAAGCAACATTACAATTGGATACGTTTTCACGTGTAGCAGCCCTACGGCCCTAAGGGCACTATTCCAAAGAGAACATTTTCATTTTATATGTTCAATAGGCTCACAATTGGATGGTATTTGATTGTTCATAACCTTGGTGATTAATAACCCTTCTATGATTGCTTAACCTATTTACTCATTCATTGACTGTTTTACCAATCCCTTGCTAGTCTTACTGATGACATGGTGAAGAGGGTAGCAGAGATAGCAAAGGCCTTGTAGTTAGGCCTAGATCTCATAGGAGGGTTTATGTGAGTTTGCCAGCAATTCATCCCTCCCAACATTGTGCAGCATCTTTTGTAAATACATAAAGTGATGCTCATAAATGCACACACATAATGTACATAGGTCAGTATCTATAAGATTGGAATGGGATACTCACTTTTCTGTGTTACCTATCAAAGATAAGATTAAGAAAATATTATTATTAATAGTTATCTTTGTTCCCCAAGCTGCAATATTTTCCTTCATAGGAGCTTCCAATATACTCAGTCACATTTTTTTCTTCATTCCTCCATCTCCCCGTCTTCTCTATAATAAACAGACAAACTTTATGCTCTAGCTTAAATCAGCAGTTCTTATATTTATGCATAGGTTTTATCATCTTCTTCTCTCTCTTTCCTTTCCTTTCAAGGGAAAGTGTTAGCACCTTGTAGATCATACATTATAAAGGGTTAACTTTTAGAAACACTAGAATACAGCTGTTAAGCTTGGTTATCAGACAGGTATGAGTATCCTCTAATTCAAATCTATGCCATCTTCCTTTAATGTTTCTTCTATTCTGGTTCCTAGATTCATTCTGTTATTTACACACTTGTTTAAAAAAAAACATTACGGAGATCGGTAATTCTATCACTATTTCTGGCTGCTTCTTTTCAAGTTGTTGTTCTTTAGAGGATCACTCCTTAAAACAGAACAGAAAGCCTTACCTAGGCCATTAGGTTGTTATAGTTTGGCTTTAACTGTAACTGCTGAAACCATTTCTGTTTAGATTACTCAAGGTTACATCCATCTATTACTTAAGGTTGAGCTGTTTCTTTACATTGATTTTTCTTGATAATCAGAGATTTTTACTACATCTTAGGGCATTTTCCATCCCCTTCTGGTTTCTTATAACAGTGTTGGTAATTAAAGATGCTGGCTCTTCACATTATAGGCCTTTTCTTGTTTTGTAACTGTGCTCCTAGGGCTCTTACCTGTTTCTCACATTCTTGTGATTAGCCTCTGCAGCAGGACAGCATGCATCAGCTATCACCTCTCCAGGAGCTTTGACTGCCACCCCTCAAGCCTTTAACTCTTCTGTCTCTGTTCACCATTCCTGTAAGCAACTCTTATCACTTCATTCTCTTTCTGCATTTTCCCCATGAGTGAGGGATGTTATGTTCTTTCAAAGGGTAAGAGTTAAGATTTGTACCTTTTTCCTCCCAAAGGTATGGGAGGTATTGCCTTCAACACAACCTGGAGTTCTGATGTCTTGCCCCATATAGGTTCACTTTTCCTTTTAAGTGAGGAAATCCTTTGACAATTGTTTATTTCTTATGTAACTGTTTTTCCAACTTCCAGGGAGCAGAGTGTAGAGGGTTTGGCCTTAGCCTATTTCCTTGGGCCTTTGCCTGCTCTATGACCAATACAGCTTGCTGGTTCAATAGTTGGGGTGTTCCTGAATACACTGCTTAAGTGAGTTATACAGTTTGATCATCAATTTTAACACTTCAGGTACATTTGCAAGAGGATGACACCCCCCCCACCACAACACACCACGGCTCTGTCCCTGAGGATTCGGGATGCTCAGAGCTGAGCTGTCATGGAGCAGGTGAGCGGGGAGGGCTTCAGGACCCAGGGAAATCCCCCCTCCTCTCATAGCCCGCTGCTGCCTTTTCCTTTAAACACCTTGGTCAGGTTCAAGCTAGTTTACAAGTTGACCAAGGGTCAAACATGGGTCGTGGTGTGAGGTTTAAGCCTAACAGTTACATTTACGTGCATGCTAGATCCCCAGGAAAGCCCCACCAGCAGGGAAGACCCCAACCATCTGGCAGACCCATGCACTTGCTGCCCTGGGAGCATAGTGGTTACCAGCACACTAAAGCCCCGCCAGCATGGCAGACCCTGACCAGCCAGTAGACCTGTGTGCTTGCTGCCCAAGGGTGTAAGGGTTACAGGTGCACTGGATCTCCAGGGAGGCCCCCACCAGCATGGGAAACCCCGATCAGCCAGTTGATCCATGATTCTGCTGCCCTGAAGCATATTGGTTATCAGCATTATAATGCAGCACACTCGCACACACTCACATGCTCCCCTGCTGGAGGGTCCCCCATAATAGGATTAGAGCTTTTACCCTGTTTGATTATCTCGCACACACACAGAGTCACTCTCTCACATTAGCCATTGCCCTAGCTTCAGCAATGGTCTGCAATTCTCCCTGGGTGCAATCTCACACAGAGATCTTATGATAAGGCTGCCCATGGGCCCCTTTTGCTTTGTTCATAACTACTGACCCCACTCTCCAGGATCCCAACCTTTGCCCTGTACCTGCTGCTTATGAACCACATGCTGCCTACCCTGTACCCAGATGGCATGGCCAGCAGTGTGCTCCCTTGCCAGCGTTCCTTGTTGCTGGGATACCTGCACTTGTTCTTCCCATATCTTATTAGTCGTTTGTAACGAACGCTTTTATCTGGTCAGAATGTTCCCACACTCGTTTCAAGCATGTTAGTAATAACCAACCACAATGCAAATCCTGCTGGGGTTTTCCTTTTCCCCTTGGTTTTGGAGACAAGTTAATATTCCAGCTGGAGTGGGACATCCAGATAACTCCTCATTTTCCCAACTCACCGGGGAGGTCACCAGGGCCAATCATTGTGCAACTGGCCCCCACACCTTGCATGTGGGGCCAGCCTGGCACCCATTCAGGCTGTTCTGCATTCCTGTCCTTTTTCCAAAAAGGCATTTTCTTATTGAGATCCTGCTGACTTTGCCAAATGTTGTGCACCGGGTAGGTGCCAGTTCTTTCTGGATCTTTGTAAGAAGGAATGCCCACTTGAATCTTTAAGTATAATATGATGGCTAAGTTTTTCCTGCAGCCAAGGGATACATGTAGCATAGCACAGGCCTGCGCCTGCTCAGGTCAACTGGTTATGTGGATCACTAACTCCTTGATGTACAATAGTCTTCCAGTTAGGATCACTACAGTCTAAATCACTTTGAGGTGTCTGATTTCCAGCATCTTCCTCTTAGACAAATCATAAAAATGATATGCATGACATTTTAAATAAGTAAATAAATAAAAGAAGAAATCATGAAAGCTGACTCGGATCCATATGATTTTGGGCAAGTCACGAATTCTCTGACTCAGTCTAAGCATCAGGATTTTGCATTCTAACCACTCAATCCTCTTGTGGCATACTTCCAATACAGCTCACATCTATATATAGATGAGGAAGAAAAAAAGTAGAGAGGATATATTCTTGATTTGTATTCTTATTTCTGTGTTTTTTCAAGACCTCATATGGAAAGTGTGTGAAATAAGGGTGCCAAAGAAAGGCAGGACAAGGAGTCAAAGTTATGGAAAAAGACAACCTATCCTTGGATTATGCTCTTCCTTTGCCTGAATAGCTCGGAAACAAAGGGAGTAAGCACTTGGAGGGTAGACAGTTCTTTGGGGAAGTAATGTTTGAGATGGGGAAAAAATGGCTAACATAGCCAAAAAAAAACCCAAACAAACAAAAACAAACATGTGCATGTTGCAGTGTTCCAGTGAGCCTTGATTTATGTCTGAATAGACTTATTTTTAATGTGTTCTTGAGCTTGCTGACCTGAGACTTGAATGTTAATTACAAATTTCAATCTCATCTGTAGCACCTGCTCAGCTTGTAGAAAAGATACGACTACTGATCTCATATTATGTGCGACTTTCACAAACTTAAATAGTAACATGTCAGAATGCTCTCTTTTCAGAGTACATCCAGACCATAATGATGATGGAAGAATCAGTTCAACATGTTGTCATGACAGCCATTCAGGAGGTATGTTATAGAGCTCATAGTGTATAAAGTTCAGCCTTTCAATATTGTACAAAACCATACTTTTTTCCACTTTGATGAATTCAGTTGGAAGTAAATAAACAAGGGACATAGAATTTGCAATTTTAGAATAAGGAATATTTTCCTTTTTTGAATTAGAAAAACAAATCAAGAAAGCCTTCTTCATGTCAAAGAACTCTGTTTGCATGTCCTACTTCTCTAGAAGTTTAAATCTTCTAGGTTTAAATAAATTTTTGATACTGGGCTCCCCTTCCTTTACCTTTCCTGTGCTGTGGCTCCTGAAGTGCACTATACTGCTTTTATATAAGTAACCAAATACTGTAGAATTTCTTTAAAATGTCTACTTAATAATTGGAAAACTTTCTGAACTACTAAATGTTGTAACTGGACAAGTGAAAAGAAATAGAGAAACGTGCAGCGAAATATTCTTTTGTCAGTTGTTAGCAACATTAATAGACTAGTTAAGATATTCCTGATAATACTTTGTATCTTGTTAATATATGTACTGCAGTGTGTTTTGTAAAAATGTTATTTTAAGGATAGTAATAGGAAACCTGATTTATTATTAAGACTGTGGTGGTGGGAAAGTCAATTCTTCTGCTGTGCTTTTAGCAGTTGTTAGCCTGGAGAGTTACTATATGCAATAAAGGTTTTCATAGTCTTGTTTAACTGATATATCGCACTAACAATGCAGATGGAAGCATCAAAGAAGAAAACTACAGAATAATGTTAGTGACCGCTGTTGCCGTGAAGCCTCTGAGTGACTTCTGATGTGCTCAGTCAGGCTTCATAGATGGAGGTTTACTGCAGGCAGGCTAGTAAGGAAAGCAAGAAGTCTTAAAAGGAAAAGTTTGTTGTACTTCCTGATAAGAAAGTGTGGCAAGCGCTCCGGAACAAAATCACAGTTCCTAAGTCTTTGTCAGTGTACCTTTCCTTCCCAGGCCTTCACTGGTAATCAAATTGTTTCTGAATGTGAGCAGAAAAGCCGAATGCCAGTAGGCATGAAATTCATTTAGTATTTGTGCCCTTTGCTGGGGGGAGGGAAAGAGAAACAACAAGATGAGGGGTTGTCTTCCTGGAACAGGTTTTGAAACTTGGTGGATCAGAAAAGAGCTTCTCCTTCAAGGACTAGTGCAGATACAAGTGGCTTTAATGCTGTCTTTCAAAATGGTTAGAAGTTTGAGATGTTCAGGATCAAATGGGGAGGCTCTGAGATGCTCAGAGAGGTCAAATAGCCTATTCAGAATCAAAAGTTTAGATCCCAGGAATCTTTTCAGAGCTACAGTCTCTATCTGTGGAGGGTAGGAAAGAAGTCTTTGAGGTCTCTGTGTGGAGCAGGGCAGGCATCAGATTTTCAAGTCAGATAGACTTCAGTGCTGCAGAATGGTGCTTTAAAACACAGGTAGAATCCAAGACCCCTAGAGAGCGCAAGGGTTTTAGGACTTTGCAGGATTCAGGGAGTTCAGTTCTCTTTCATGGGCTTCTTAGAGCAGATCTCAGGATCCAAGTGACTTTGATTAAGCTGTGTGTAGGAGACACCAAAATGAAGTGCTACTAAAATAGCTATATTTGCATATTGGAAAAAATGATAAATGTCACCTAATCCAAACACTTCAAAACATTTGACATGCAGTTCCATGTCTTTCAATATTAGCTATGTAAAAATACCTCTTTAAATCTTTTTTTAATCTATTACGTAATTTATTTTTCTGTTTCAGCATAGTACATGTAAATGCTTTTTGATGATTTATTGGCTTTCATATATCATCTTAATCATGGAAACATTTGTCAAGCCATAGTAGAACAAGCATCTGACCTGTCTCTTCTTCGTTTGTGTGTGAAAAAGGGCTGTTTTTCATTTAGTAAAGTGAGCACTTCATGTATGAAATTTTATTTGGTAAAATTATTTTAAAATTTTCCCTCTGTTTCTTGAACATTTCCTTCCATTTTTTATTTAAATATATAAAGTAAAACTTTAATAACAGAAATATGCCTAGCACTTTCTAAAGCACATATAAATTTAACAATGCCTTTATATTGTTTTTTTCAGTGCAATCAAGTTGATTTCATTTATTACCACCATTTAGATTCTTAGATTCTGAGCTGCTAAAACCAGTATAGCATTCTTTAATTTCATAATTTACAGATTTTTTTTCTAAAAAAAATCTTTCCAGAAAATCTATTGCTGCAAAAACAAATTTTTGAAATGATATATTTTTCTGTTTTTCTTTATGTTCTTGACAAATTATGCTGTTACTTTCCCAAGCCTTTTAGGTAATTAAGCATTTGGGTGGCTAAGGTTTCTTCACCAATTAAAAGTGATAGTGGGGGAAAATGCCTTTGCTGCTCAGAACATTTCTGAACTTGATTATTCAACAGATGTTTTTTCCCTTCTCTATAAGTAGGCAGTCAGAATAGGCTCTTTACAACTAGGTACTAAAGGTAGTGCCAAAACTTGTCTGGGGTTATATAGCAAGAAGGACCTGCTTTCTGGATTGATACTAACAGTGTTGTTTCTACAAAGCAGAAACTATTGGTTTTCCTATATTGTGGCCTGACTGTTTAAGGTTCTTGTCTTCAAAAAAAGTGGTTTCTGAATGATGGAAAAATCTTTAATTGGGCCTATCAGCAATGTTTGGGGGGGGAAGGTCTTCCTGTATTAAAGGTATTAGAGGATACAGAGCATGTCATATATGCCCTTGGGTACACACTCCTGAGAACAGAAACATGAGTTTAATGTTGATCCAGAGAGATTAAAGCGAGTTAAACAAATGTAAAAACACTGTATATGAAGCAAACATTTTAAAGTTACTACATTATAAAAATAAGTGGTGCCGCTATATTTGTAAAATGCAGAAAGCAAATCACATGCATGGAAAAAGGGAGGGGGAGGGAGTTCACAGTCCAGGACATTCATGTATACAGATTTCCTGCTGGTCTTAACACCCCCCCCTATCTTTATGTATCTGTGATAACACAAATTTCTCAGCTTTCATGAGCAAAGCAGTTAAAACTAAAGGTTTTAATAACAAAACTAGCAGAGCTACAAATATTTTTATAAGGCTTCTTGCCAAAGCTGTGGGTGTGAAAACATATAAAGTGCTGCCTTGAATAGAATAGGGAATGGCAACTATTTTTCATAAAAATACCAAAATACAAATTTAAAAATTATCTTGTTGTCCGGGTTATTGTCTTTTTAAACTTGGGAATGACTTCTTTACCAGAGAATAGATTCATTTGACTTTAAATGATATTTTGATTATTCTAGTACGTACTTCTTTTATTTTAAAGTCTTCATTTCTAGACATGGTCAAGAAGATGGATAACAGAGCACATTAAATAAATTTGCTTTAAAAATCAACAATTCAACTAATTCATCAGATCATAAATAAATAGGAAATATATCTTCAGAAAGGACTAATGTACAATAAAATTTTAGGTTCTAATATACTGATGGGATATACAGTTAAGAGGGAAAAGTCTAAAATGTTTCAAGTCAGTTGTGCTGTGATACTATAAAAATGAAAAATGGGAGAAAACAGGCCAATTTGTTTGTTTGTTTGTTTGTTTTACATGAATGGAAGGTATGGTATGTATTTGAGAAGACATGCACATCTGCATAGAATCTTAAAACATAGCATTCATTAAACATTTCTTGAACTTGAAAGGAATTTTTGTGGAAATCAAATTAGTTTATATAGTTAGGTGAGATTGCACCCTACTGGCTCATCTCTTTAGGGGGAAGTGTTTCTCTTTAAAGGTGTAGAAAATGGGAAGTGACAGGTCAGTAGTAGAGCCCTGTCAGGACATTCATTCACATGTACCATTACCCTTTCTTAACTGTGGCATATCATTGACCATTCCTACATCAGAAGCCTCATTCCTGTGTTATTTGTGACTAATCCAGCTATCTTGTTCCTACTGCTTGTCTGGTTCACTTTGTAGGGCTCCCCTAGCCACTCAGTCAGTCCCTTAGAACTTTCTTTGGCTTTCCCACCATATCAATGCCAAAATATAAAAAAGATATTTCTTGTCCTTCCATCATTGCCATGAGTCCATCATCTGCACAATTCTCTGGTTCTCATCCTCAGTGCCTTATGCACATATCCCAGGATATGTCTGTACTCCAGATTTCTGATGCCCCCCCCTTCCATGCACAAATCCTGTGTACTTTTCATGCTCCCCCCTTCCGATTTCCCCCACCCTTCCCCTCCAGCCAGTGTCCTCTTTCACATTCTTGCTAAGGTTTCTGGTGCATAGGAAGGTCTGGGAGCAGAAGGCATTGAAGAATAGGGTATAAACGGGTTACCATGTTACTGGCTTCTGCTTCCTTCCTTTGCAGTCATCCATAGAAAGCAGTGACACCACAGTGGCCTCTAGTGGCCTGTACAGCTTTCTCCATTCCTCAGCTCCTGCTCTAGAGGCAAGTTTTGGGCAGGGCTCTTCAGCTGTTTTTCTAAAGGGAAAGTTGTACTAGGGCCAGAAAGGAGATGGTGACTGTCAGTGGCCTTTTGCAGGCTGTTTAGTTTGTGGCCTACCAATCGAATAGCACTGTCTCAAAGGGTAATAGTGGTTGGAGTGGGGAAATGATTTTGTGAGTAACGTTGTAAGGAATGGAGGGAGGAGAAAAGGTCAGTGTTTGGTTAGTCTTAACATCTTCATTAGTCATGTGGAAAAGGGTGTAAACAACTAGTGAAATAGAGCAATTAACATATGCATAGACGTCACAGAGAGGGAGGGATTGGAAATTCTTGTTTTGGATAGCAGTATGATACTCTGAAACCTTGACTGTAAATTCAATACAGGTTTGCAATGCTACTATATGCAATAATGAAAAAGACATGTGACTTTTGTAGATATGCCAGTTCTGAGGCTAGGGACTTTCTAAAGCATCTGGGCTCTGTATATGGAATGCTTCATTTCCAAGTAGCTTGTCATCATAGAAATGTAGGCAAAAATTGAAGGAATTCAATGGTTAGCAACAAATATGGTCAGGACCTGGAGGAACTTTTGAGAAGAGATTAGATGAAATTTAAATATTTAGTACTTGGCTAAATCCCTATTAAGGAGTGGAGGAAAGGAAGAGAAATATAAGCATATAAATATTTGAATGGTGTAAATGTAAAATACAAGGAGAGTTTTGGTTTTTTTGTAAGTAGTAGTAGAAACAGAAGGGATGGAGAGAAAAGGAAAGTTTGTACTGTGTATCACAAGAACTTTGGCGGTGAAATGGAATGCAAGCACTGGCTTCTAGAGGGCATTAATGGAAGCCCTGCCCTGTCTCTGGAGAGAGTAACTGGACTGGACAGTAAGCCTAGAGAATTACATTGAGGGGAAGAATATTGGCCTGGTTTTGGTTAGGATAGGTGACTGGGTTAATTCCTAACTTTCATGAGTCAGTAGGAGAAACTCATAAAACATTTGGTGTGTTGAAACTATCACAGAAATAAGCAGCACAGGTTTGTAATGCTTCTTTTTGAGTTAGTAGCAACATATCTGCAATATATATATTTAATGTTAATTTCACCTTAATTTGTTTGCTGGGAGAGGGGGGTCTTTTGATCTTAAAAATTTTGTAACATTTAAATTTATTTTTAGCCATTTACCTGGTATAGTTGATCAGTGGGTGAGGTTCCTGAAAGAAAACTTTTTTTTTCCCAATAAGCATGTCAGTCAATCTGGGGCTTTCTAAGGATTGTAATATTTATTTCAAAAATACTCATTCTAGAGTATAACTTTTTAATCTGCAAATTCTAGACAAATCTGGAGGTTACAGAGGTTTCACAAATTAATAATAATATCAGCTCTCAAAATGGGGAAAGATGAAAACCACTGCCAGAGAACAATTCAAGACCTATCTTGCGTGCCATATTAATAGCTGCTACCAGTTTAATGCTGCTTCAGTACAGTGCTCTGCAAAGGATACTATAGCTTTCATGATAGATAATGAATGTGCTTTTTCAGAAGAGAGGATGACTATGTAAGTAATATTTTTCATACTCCTTTAGGTATTATAAATTCTGAAGATATCTTTCTATAATTCTTTTTTAATATACCACATATAAAAATGAAGTGAAAAATGTTATTGTCATCTGAAAAAAAGCTTTCCTAAAAGTTAAGATCAACCTTTTTTTTCATCGAAACTTAGCTTTTAATATACAAATAAATCTTATACTTTTTCTAATCCAATGTAATCTAATTGCAGTTGATGAGTAAAGAGTCTCCAGTCTCTGTTGGAAACGATGTTTACGTTGACCTTGATCGTCAGGTATCTAAGGCTGCATGTTTCTGTTTCTTTAATCACAGGAAATCAGTGCCTAATCATTCCAGTTTATTGTTAAGCAGTCTACCTTTTTTATTGTGGGAGAATTTTGTGGGAAATTCAAATAATGGATAGAAAACAAAACTTGACTATTTTTTTCTTTAAGACCTTTTGTTTTGAAAAATAACTAAAAATTTGTAACTGAATATATTTTATTGTCTTATATCAAGAAGCAGTACATGTATTTAAATAAAACCTTGGCATATAAAATTGAGTTAACCTGTTATGTGTGTTTACAAGGAAAAGAACTCTCTTTGGAAAATAAGATTAGCTATAAGATGTTATGATATAACAAAACTGAAGACCAATGGAAATCTTTGGCTAATGAGGAGGCAACAAAAGAGTTTGTAGTATTTATGAACTCTAAACAAAACTTTTTTGCCTTGTCTCACTTCCAAAGTCAATAAAAAGGCTTAGATGAGGCTAAAAAAATGCTTGAAGCAGTTTTGGTAACTGTTACAATGTTTTTAAGAAATTTTGAGAGAAAATCCTTCCCTGCCTGAAATATTTAGATAAAATTGTAAAAACTATTGTGTTTATATTTAGAGAGCATGATCTGATGCTAACACTGTCCTTTTATCTCATCAGTCTTTCTCTAAAGCAGTAGAGGTATAGTGGTGTTTCCTGCATTGTTCCATCATGCTATGATGTTATCTGTGTAGAAGTACATAAATTCTGGTAGATGGAATTATTTTTTATGTCAGCCGTCCTTTGTAAACTTAAAAAATGAAAGATCCTGTTTGTGAAAAGTAGAAGGCCCATCTAAAATTTATCATGTGTAATAAAATATATATGTATGCATTAACTATGTACATATTTTATCAGAACAATTTTCTTTATTTCCCTAACTATATTCATACAGAAACTTGGAAGATATAAGTCTTTTAATTATTATAAATTTTAATTGTTATAAAATCCTCTAAAGAGATATAACTGAATGTTTGCACACTGCTTATAAGATTCCATTCCCTGTTGTTCAGTAAGAGTAGTTCCCAGTTATTCCTTGTATTCCACCTCTCAATCCTTCGTGTATTTGAAAAGATGATGAAAAACTGAAATCATGCATTCTTTGCATCCATAAAGAAAAGTGGTATTGATGATTTTTTTCAGTGTGCAGAGGCAATAGATTCTTCAGAAAAAAGCTGTTTGGTTTTGGGCAGGGGCTTAGTTTACAGAATAAATGTGATTAATTTCAATGTTTTGTTTCAAGACCAAATATCACCTTCAGCTACATTTACCTTTGTTAGACAAACTAAACAATGATTACAGTTGCTCCTTTGTTTCATTGTAGAAGCAGAGTTGCTTCTCTTTCTTTCCAAAACTTCAATAAAACAGACTCTACAATCATATAATTCAGAATGTTGTTATATCATATATATAGAGAGATGATTATGAAACTAATGTTTGTTGTTTATGATAGTTGAAGAAAACTACAGAAGAATTAAATGAAGCCCTAGCAACAAAAGAAGAAATTGCCCAGAGATGTCATGAGTTAGATATGCAGGTAGGTCATCTTCAAATCGAGAAAGAAGTATGTTAATTCTTGGACAGCTGAAGAAAGGTAGTGTGAAAATCTGATTTTTTTATTAAAAAAAACCCCAAACCCTCAATAGCTGTTTCTTTACTCATGTTAGCAGAACAAAAAGTGCATGTCCCCTTGTATTGATGCAATGATGTCAGCATTAAGGTGATTGGTACTGATAAAGCTTTTTTCTTCAAGCAAGAAATGAACTGCATTGCTCAACTCATGAGTTACAGAAATCCTAGGAGGAGTTCTGCTGGTATAATGATTTCAGTAAAAAGTTACACCCCGATCAAAAGTTACTCTTGTCTATCAGCTATGCATATAATAAATTTTACTGTACACTGAGCATATCTGATCTGGAAGACATCAACAGACTAACCCAGAAGAGCCAATTCACTGAATTTCTATTTTGGAATGTAATTTGGCTTTTAGCCAAGCTTTTTAGCCAAGTTCAGTAACCATTGGAATTAATGAAGCCTCATGACTTGCTGATTTGTATTTGATGGTTGGTTGATTTTGGTGTGTTTGATGCAAGCTCTGATCAAAGCTTTTCCTTCTATTGGGATATTTATATTCCCTCTTTTCCCCTCCTACCTGCATGTTGATTGTATAGTGTCTAATAATATGAGCTCATGCTTCAGCCATTCTTTGAGTCACAGCACTTTGGGTTCCTTGCCCCACTGTCTGTTTTCACAAAGCTGGTAGAAATTTAATTACATTTAGGTCCTCTGTTCCTATTCCAAGTTTGTTTGCAATTGGCTATTGGATTCAAAAATTTCTTGGAAGGGCATGACCATGAGAGACTTGGATATTCTGTGTGATTGTATGAACACTGTTTCCTTTGGAAACCAGGTTAAAAAAACTTACTATGGGGTGCTAGGGTGTGGTCTCTTTTTTGTGTGTTTGAAAAGTAGGCAGACTTTTAATACAGTGAAGTAATCTTTGATAGCTAAGATATTTTTCTTTAGATGTTTCTGAGAAATATAGGTAAGAATGCTGCTTTCTATATGGTAAATCCTGTCCCTAATGCTGTAGTACATTGGTTACATCACATAGCAATTGAAAAAGTATTAAAGTCGCAACATGTTCCTGTGAAATACAGTTTTTGGAACTTGTATGTTTCCAGTTGTGGGTTGTGTTAATGTTTTGTTGCATGCACAAAAAAGTTGCTCTTTATAGCTGACAGCTCCATTATTCCAGTTTGTTCTTTTATTACAACAGGTTGCAGCACTTCAAGAGGAGAAGAGCAGTTTACTTGCTGAGAACCAGATTTTGATGGAACGTTTGAATCAGTCTGATTCTATAGAAGATCCCAACAGCCCTGCAGGTCGTAGGCACTTGCAGCTGCAGACCCAATTAGAACACCTCCAAGAAGAAACATTCAGGTAAAAAAGCCACAAGTGGGTAAACTGTTTGTAGTTGGCAGCCAACGTGACTTGTATGCTTTTGGTTCTATTGGCAATTATGCTAAATTATTATAATGGGTGGTATAATAACCATAGTAATGAAGTTTCTGTTATGATCTACCTGTTTATAAGCTCAGACTTTGAAAAATGTGTGTGGTTTTTTTAATGCTGAAATGATGCATGCACTCCCCCTCCCCTCCCCTCGAAGTTGTTTTGAAAGGTTTGTGTGCAGTCCTTCCTGTCATTTTTAAAAAAATCCACGAGGATGAAAGGTCGCCTTCACCCTCACCTTTTCATTCTTGTTCCTGTACTTTCCCTCTCCTTTGACTGAAACTAGTGTCTCTCTACACTTTTGTTTTTTTCTTCTTTCTGCTCTCTTTTCCTTTGCCCTTCTCTAATTCTGATGTCAACCTTCCTATAACCTTTTCTTACCTTTTGTGCTCACATTTTCCCATCCTTCTACTTTCTCTTGCCAAGCTTCTTTCCTCTGTCTTAGCTCTTCTCACTTTGTGTTCACACATGCCCCTCTCCCTCCTGTTTCTTGAAAAAGGTTCTGTACTTCTCCATCTTTCACTCAAGCTAATGCATATTTTCCTTGTCTCTATATATCTACACTGTAAAGAAATAGTATACTCATGTTTCTCTAAATTACCCTTATAACTCTCCTTAGACAGGATATTTGTCTTAATTATCTATCTGGAATGATTCCTACCACAATCTAATTACCACTTCTTGTTTATACTGAACAGGTGTTCTCTCTCCCTCCCTCCCTCAATTTCTGCACTGCCTGTAACTCTGGTACTTTCACCTTCCTCTATACCCTTTACATCAAGGTTTTGGAGACTTTTCTAACCCTTTCTCATCTGTCCACTGGGTCTCTGTCTTCCAATCCTCTTTTATCTCCTTTCTCCGCATTCTCCCTGTGTAAAGTTTAATGACAAATTGTCTGTCTTGTTACTCCTCCGGCTCTAGTAGACCAAACACAAAGTAGGTACAGCTTTGGTATGCAGCAGTTGTTTTGTGCAGTAGTTGTTTTCCCAACCTTCTATGTCCTTTGACTGTTCTGGTCTTATTATTGAAACCTTTGTCATTTTTGGCCTAAGCCTCCCATTGACCATCTCTTGTCTCCTTTCTCTTAGTCTCTTATTGGACTCCTTGAATTAAATGCTGCCATACATCTTTCTTGACTGCATCCCCTTTTCTGGGTATCTTTATTTTTTATTTTAATTTTGGATCAAATTCACAATGGCACTTTGCACTCTGTGCTGCCAAGTTGTCTTCTCCTCCACTCATTCACCATGTTTTGTCAAAGTTTCTCTTGATTATTCCCTTCACTCACTGCCAAATTCATGCAACTTTTCCTACATATATTGTATGAGACTTTCTTCTGTGCTCTTCAAACACTAGTCAAAAATATTTGGTTCTTCAGAGGTGCTGAATAGGCATAGCTTCTAAAAAAAAAAAGTCAGTGAGAGCTCTACAGTATTCAGAATGTCTGAAGATCAAGTCTGCCTGCCTAAATATTTTTGATAGTATAGGAGAGTTGGACAGCTGGACAAAATCCTGGGATAAATCCTAGGATAAAGATTTCATGTTCAAGCTTTCTATGCCCCAAGGGGGGAAGGGGAGTGAAAACTTCTGCAAGAAGTTCCATTGCTATCACAGAGAAAGCTCTGATTTTTTCCTTTCCAGTACAATTGACATGCGCATTTCCCTGTGACGTTCCAAAGTAGAAACATTGACATGAAATTGGAAGCATTAGAAAAGTGATCTGCTTCTATGCTTTTGAATAAGTGAGACATTTGAGAGCAAAACTCCATTCTGTGTGGTGTTGTGCATTGGACTGCTGTTTCCTTTTCACTGTGCATCAGAAGTCTATTTCTGGTGTTTCTAGAGAGGATGATGATGAAGAAAGGCAACAGTGGCTCAAGGTGAAAAATTACTTTCTGTTTTATTTCAATTGTACAGGTTGGAAGCTGCCAAAGATGACTATCGAATACGTTGTGAAGAACTAGAAAAGGAAATTGCAGAACTGAGACAACAGACTGCAGAGCTTAGTACGTTAGCAGAAGAGGCTCAGTCATTGAAGGATGAAATAGATGTACTCAGGTAAACTATGCTCCATTAGCTTTTGGGTTTTTTTTCTTTTTTTTAGAACATAATTAGTTTTAATCCAGAGTAAAATTCATATAATAAATTTAGGCTTCATTAGCTTTTGGCATAATGGTATTAAGATTGGATATGTATTAAAACACTTCTTAAGCGAGTGCTAAAAGCCACTCTGTGGCCATCAAAATGATAGTTCTAACTTTTGTGTCAAGCAGTCTGACATCAGATCACTAAGCACCAAAAAGTTTAGTTCAGCTGAATTAATTCTAGTGTCACACTGTTGGGTATGGCTGTGGGGATTCATTCTTTATTGTTAGCTTATAGGTTTTTGGTGTTTATAATTTTTTGTGAAAACTTTCAGAGGATATTTTCCTAATGTTGTTTGTTTTCCTTCAAGCAGTGAATTATTTAGGAGTCACATCACAATTCAAAGTGATGACCCAATATTGAGAAAACTCTTTCTGAATGTATTATAAACCGAGCCCTGTCTTGCTTTTTTGTTAAAAAGGATTCAGGCTCCAAAACTATTATGGTACTCCTGTGTGACCAAGTACAGACTGCCCGGGAAATGAATATAATAGTTGTTAACATCATCTGCCATTTCCATTTTTCCGAACAAGTTTATCCCTGGCTATCGTTTAAAAAAAAAAAAAAATAGAAAGTGAAGGGCAGAAAATATTACTTTTATCCTGGTAAAGCAGTGGCTTCTGAGGATGAATTTAGAGTTAGTTAGAAGGAAATGGGTTGGAATGTAGAGGTGTTAACATTTTTTTAAATTAATAATGGAAGCAGATGAGAAAATGAGAGCTGCATTAGGAAAAATGATACCATTCAAAAGCACTTCTGGTAGCAGCACTTTGGCTCAACTATCTGGGGCGGGGAGCAGACAACTCGGAAGCCAAGACATTTAGTAGTGTGAGGACGTTTGTGTCCTTGTGCTCCCCTTGATGTCTGGAAATGTTTTCTAAATTGAATTGTAACACTGAGGAAGCTTCATAACACTTGATTTTTAGTCTTCCAAGTACAGATTTGGTACAAATGTTCAATCTCTTGTCTTCCCAGGCATTCTTCTGACAAAGTGGCCAAGTTAGAAAGCCAGATAGAGTCATACAAAAAGAAATTGGAAGACCTGGGTGATTTGCGGCGGCAAGTGAAACTCTTAGAAGAGAAGAATACAGTGTACATGCAAAACACTGTGAGCCTGGAGGAAGAACTAAGGAAGGCCAATGCAGCACGTAGCCAGCTGGAGACATACAAGAGACAGGTGAGAACAGACATCTTTAGTGCAACAATTCTCTGCATTTCTCAACTTTTCCTCTTTGCAACATGGTTAATGCCTCAAAGTAAAAAAAAAAAAAAAATCAACCAAACAAAGCCAGCTCCTTGCATTTGAGAGACTTCCTTGTTTTGTAAATACTTCTTTCTTCCTCCCTCCCCACACTGCTTATTGATCATTATGTCAAGTTGTGTTACTTTTGTCAATGAACAGTCTTACCTCTCAAAAAGTAACAGATTTTAACAGTTTTATCAAATTATTCCTAATTCAAGTTCAGTAGTGGAGCTAGAATTAGAGCCACTCTCTCAGAAATAGCATCCACTCTTCACTTAAAAATTTCCAGCAGTGGGGAATCCACCATAGCCTAGGTAAGTTTGGTAACTTTTTTTTTTTAAAGTTTCTAATCTAAATTTGTCCAGCTGTGGCTGGAAAAAACACATCCTCCTTCCTCTATATCATTCTTGTTGCATATATGCACCAAGAAAAGTACTTTGTGCATCACCAGAGACCTCTGGAGTGGGAGGGCATCTGTTTATTTTCCATCTCCACTGAGAGGGATGTGACCATATTTCTATAAAGGTGGAAGATGCATGCTAATCTACTTTTTGTGTCTACGCTACATTGACCTGCCATCATTCTGAGATCCTTTTTGCAGGGCCAGCCTGAGCCTGGTTTATGAAAACAGTGACTTGTCTTTATTCTGACTTCCCTTAACCTCAAATGGTCACACTGCAGGAGTCCCTACATGTCAATCCACAGCAGAATTAAAAAAGATACAAAAACAGGCACCAAGAATATTATAAGCCCTGGAGCAATGTGCATCCCTCAAACTCAAAGGCTGTTTCCCTGCACCTGGCCATCTTGATAAATAGGTCAATTAGCTTGTACCTCCCTGGGCTAATTGTTAATACAGTCCAACTGATTTCACCAGAAAAAAAAACCCAAAACTTAATGAGGAAAAGGCTGAAGTAACATACAATCAAAGGGAAAAGGAAATATAAGAGGAGGCAATCTTTCATACACCATTAATATTGCATTTGCTCACAAAAGGAATAAGTCTCTCCTCTGAATAACAGAGTACCCATTACAATTGTGTTACTCCTGATATCTGCATCTGATCTGCTTATTTCAACAATGATACAGGTTTTGGAGGGGGAAGCTTTGTTGTTTGTGTCTCAGCTGTGCAGCTGCAAAGAACTCCACCTTTTCTCCCTCATTCCCTGTGTTTTATGGATGAGATTTTACAACTGAGGAGCTGTTGTGTTGTACAGAACTTTACTGCTAACTGAGACTGGAATAAAGCCCAGGCCTCATCTGGCAGACGTTTCCTTCACTTAACCGTGCTGTCTCAGAACAAACACACTAAGTCTGTTTGCCTTCAGTGTCTGTAAGTTGAGCTCCTCTTGAACGTGCCTTTGAGAGCCACACATAAATGAAGACAGTATAAATATGAAATGTCACAAACAAATTAGTTTCCAGGAGTCCTAATTCTGTGTCCTGCTATAATAATTAATTATATATCTTTAGCTGAGTCTTCATTCAGCTTATGTGTTTCCAGCTCAATCTTTGGTCAGTTTACTTGCTTTCATGCTCTGTGTTATGTTATTAACGTTCTGGGATTTAGCCTACATTAGTAAAGGCTGAGAGCTTTGAAAAGGCAAGGCTTTGCAGAGTTGTCTTGTGCTCACTGATATTTTCTGCTATGCTTTCAGATTTCTTTTTTTAATTTAAAAGCTCTTTGCTTACTTACAGCTTGAAAAATGTCTATGAGATTTTGTTAGGAACATATTGCCTCTTGAAATAAAGAAAAATGATTATGAGCCTGCAGCTGAATCTTCATATTTGTGTATTAAACAAAAACAAATATCTAAGCACAAGAAAATTTATATAATTGCATGAGTGAGGCTTGTGAAAAAAGATGAAAAAAGGTTTCTTGAGAGTTTTTTCTTTTCCTAGGCTTCTCTGAAAGTAGAAGGATTATTCTACTTTTCCTAAGCATTTTGGTTCATAGGATTATATAACTTTTCCTGTAGACCTCACTTGTATGTAAATTTTTGAAGATACTTTACATCTTTTTTGTTGTTTCTTTTATTTGTGCTAAGGCCTAGTATTTGAATATTTTAGGTTATACTGAAACGTATAACAATTGATGAAAACGTTTTAGAATGTCCTGTAGGTAAATATTTCACTTTTTTGTCTCGTGCTGCATGGTAATTAACTACTTTCTTTCATATGCTTTGCTTTAATATTAATAATTGCAGACAAATTACTGCTTCTTGCTCTCACAGGCAGTTGAACTACAAAACAAATTATCTGAAGAATCCAAGAAAGCTGATAAATTAGATTATGAATGCAAACGGCTGAAAGAAAAAGTAGACAGCCTCCAAAAAGAAAAAGATGTAAGTTTCAAGATATTATTTTTCTGGTAGTAGTGAAATCAATATTTTGTCCTTTATTATACAGTGATATGATGATCAAAATAAGCTTTTACAGCAAGCTTTTTAAATTAGTAAGGGATTTTTTTTCCACTTAAATTGTTTTAATGTTTGTGTGCAAATATATTTTAAAATTTAATGACTATATAGCATGGGATAAAGTGACTGTATTAAAATATATGCAACAAATTTTCAAGAGGAAAAGTCCTCACATATAGTGTCCGAAGTTGTTTCTTGACCATTCACCATGAAAAGGATAATAAATGCCAAAGGTAATTGTAATGTATTCTGAAAAACTATTTAAAGTAGGGTTTTTATAATACCTCCCTAGAACTAAACTCAGAAGTTTAGTTCTCAGAAGCAAGAGGTTTAGGAATCTTGTAGAAGGATGTGTCCTCTGTTGTGATTTCCCCCTTCTCTTATGACAGCTCATCACTGATTTAGCTTCTGGTGTCATCATGGATATGCAGGGTGGATACCAGTATATTCCCTTCCTCTCAAAACCACCAGCAGCACATGACAGAGGTTGATTGCTCTATCCTCTCTTGCCAAGAATGATCCTCCATGTTTCTCCTGAATACTCTTGTTTCTTCAACAATTGGTTTCTGTTTGTTGGCTTTTTTGGGTCTGTATGTTGGCACTTTAAAGTACCACATGAAACATGTCCAACACTTTCAGTTAGCAATTTCTCAGGCTTGTTTGAGGTGTAAGTTTTTCTTTCCATCAATCAGAATCTTTGTAGACACTTCCCTGAAGATGATACCCTATTTCCTGTCTAATCTTATAATAAATTTCTAGGTCTTGCACTTAGCATTTGAGCTGAAAATTCTCAGTTATATTTTGCTCATAGGTCTTTGATTTTTGTACATTGTCAGATTTTGCTAATTACTATGGGTATCTGTCCTCGTCATCGCTTTCTTCTGCTCCTCACTCTCAAATTGGAATTGAGAGGATTATACTGTTTGCTATCTGGTACCAGAAGTTTATGTATGTCATGAATATCTTGATTTTTGTAAGCTTATAGTCTGGTATCTTTACCCCAACAAGTGTACTATGCAGCAGCAAGCCTTCTCAAAGAACCACTGTTTCTGGGAAGCAGTTGATCTTTATTCTGTTATGAAATGAGTTGAGATGCTTTGATATAAAAATCATCTATCTCTTGAGTTACATATAAATTCTTTTTCAAGTGTTGATGCTGTGCCTTATGGCAACCTGTTTAGTGTTAAGGATGGATTTATAGTGCCAAGACTAATATTGTTCTAATTATTCAGAGATTAAGAGCAGAAAGAGATTCTTTAAAAGAAACTATTGAAGAGCTCCGATGTGTACAAGCACAGGAGGGTCAGCTCGCCACTACAGGTAAGGGACAAATAAGGAGATTAAATGCATCTCTTCTAAAGTGCACAAAGGTCTTCTGGAGAATACTGGATATGTTTTAATTTAGCAGATAATAAACTTAAATTCATCTAAGCTCAAAAACTTTTGATATGACTGTCTTTTCAAATGCTTGTGAACTCATGAAACTTTCAGTTTGAGTGAAATTTTTCATGTTTAGTCTCTTCCCAAATATGGTATTTTTAGAAAATGTCCCATGTTGTGTGTCCCCCCCGCAAAATTTGATTTCTGAATAGTCATGCTCAATATCTCTCTCATCTCCAAAGAATATTATGTAATGATTTCTTGATGTGTACATGAAGGTTCATATGCTGCAATTTTTTCCATGTGTTATGTTGCACAGCTTTTCAATTCTTATGTAAACCAATCAGTAGATCATACACCATAAAATCACTTATTAGAACATGTGAAAAAAGGAACAGTGATTGTTCTCCAAATAGTGTTGTGCTTGTCTTTCCTTCTTGCTAGAGGTCTGACATTTGTATTATTTCCCATTTACTCAAGAGCATTATTCTAAAACTATAAACTTGTAGAACAAAGTTTATTCCTGGTCTTGTAAAGCAAAGTTACTGTTCTTCCTGCTAAACTTTTTATTTATTTCTTTTCCTGACACAGCATTGATGCTCCTGGGAAGCCAGGAACCTTCAGACAGTCTAGCAGTGGAAATTGTTACTCCTGAAATCAAGTAAGTTAACTCATGTTTTTATTTTGCCTAACCCTTAGAATATGCACATAAATGACTATTCCCATCTGGTTTTCAGTGTTTGAAAATTTCTAAGATTCATGTTTGTTCTTCTCCTTCCCTTTGGATTTCCATACAACACTATCCCTTATGCTTTAGGACAAGATTCACTTGACTTCTCTCAAGTTTGTCTTCTTTTTTCCAAAGAAGGAGAAACAAAAAACCCATCATCCTCAAATTGGGTCTCTCTTCCTGCAAATAATTCATAGCACTGCAACTTTTTATGTGCATTAACAGACAAAAATGTTTGTAACAATGGGATATGTTGTTGTATAAGGAAAAAAACATTAAAATTGTCAAAATGAAGAATAGATTTTAAAATGCATTTATATCTTAGCATTAGAAAAACCATGCACTATTAGAAAGAGAGAGAAGAGACAGGACTAAAAATCACTGTGGCTTAAGATAATGCAATCTGTGTTTAGCCTTGCCAGAGTGCCTGTGTGACCGCAAGGTGGGAAAGGGAGGGTTGGATACCGGCAGAGACACTCAAGGTTCATGAGGGGTTAAACAGGATAGATTTAATAAAGGACTTACTTACACTCCAAGCTGCACGGGGAGCCCCGGGAACTGCACGAAGGGGTTGCTGATGGGAGGCTGCTGGATGCACAGGTCAGACACCCAGGCAGGACTCAACTCGTTGTATCCTAAGGGCCCCTTTTATCTACTAGAGCTATTTCCTTATCTCAGCTCTGCTAACTGTGAGAAGCTACTGTCCAGGAAGCAGCTAGACATTGTTGACAAAACAGAATATGCATGCCTGGCCCTGATGGGAATTCGGTCAGTGTGTAGTTTCACATGCTGGGGCTGCTACCACATACTCTGCCAGTCACTGACTCCTCACCAGATCTCCCGCAGGTGTTCTCACTACACTCCACCCCCGACTGACTGAGACGTGATATTGGTGCCACCAGTGTGTGGACAAGGTTCAGATAAGCCTTTCTGGTATTAGCCTAACTAACAGCTAAGGTGTACAAGCAACTAATTCATAGTGAATATATGTAGTAAATTATAACATATATGCACACAAAACTAATCAGCCCAGAAGACCAAGAGTATAACGTGTTTTCCCCATAGTCCTAAATTCGACAGTCATGATGACAGTCACTCCCAGGAGTTGTCCCACACTGATTCTTCAGACTTTACATCGTGTAGTCCTTGAAGTAGGCCCTTTATCTTGTGGACGCTGGATTCGCTGTGTTCACCGCAGTTCCGTTGGTGTCCCAACTACTGTTCGTGTACAGGGCTGGGATGGAGAGCCGCAGTGTCGTGGCTCCGCTCGGCATATTCATCAGGTCTCGGTTCTCTGGATGAGAGTCTCCTAGAGGGGACATAGACTGGGAGGCTTTCTTCTTTGATTAGTACCAGGTGGGTGTCTCCTGGCCCATCAGGAATGATTTCCCCTTCCGACTGTCCGGGTCTAGTCAGATCATGCACCCGCACAGCATGCCCTGGAGACCCAAAAGCGCCTGGTTGCTGGGTGGGCTGTAAGGAATCTACTCCCTGGATAGTGGGGACCCCTGTCTGCTCACATATCAGTTGAGCTATTTGGTCTCCCTGTATACATCACAGGGGTTGGGATCCGGTGTAATGGATCACAACCTTCACCTCCTCAAGGTAGTTTGAGTCAATGACCCCTGCAATGATGTCTACCTCTCCAGACAGCTAAACTATTGCAGGGCGCCATGCGACCGTAATACCCTTGAGGTATGGCGACGGCCAACCCCATACTCACAAGATGACAGCTCTCCGGTTCTAGGGTTATTTCTTTGCGTGGCAATCGCAGACCCAACCCTGCACTCCCAAGTGTGGCTCGCATGGGGAGGCAGGCTTGGGGGGTGCAGCCGTTGCACTCTAAGCACACACTCCATGGATTCCCCTTTGAAACGAGCACACAGGGTAGAGCCATTCAGTGGGCAGTCACTGAGGCAGGTGATTGACTGACGAATGTTTTTGCTCCAACTCGTGAGGGTACCAGTAGGGGACAACTTGCACACCTGCTCTTTGAGCAGCCTGTTCATTTGCTCTATCAATCCTGCCCTTTGCGGATGGTAGGGTATGTATGTGATATGTCCAGGCTATTCCTCACTCTCCAGCCCAATCTTGAATGTCATTCCCTGTAAAATGAGTGCCCTGATCACTTTGGATTTCCACTGGGGAACCATATAACCCAATCAAGTCTTCATATGCCTTAATGGTGTGATCCTGGGTAGCTGTGACACAAAAGTGGGTGTACAATAGACCAGAGCAGGCATCTACAGTGGTCAGGACGTATCTGTGCTGCTGGCTCTCTGGTAAGGGTCCAATAGACTCAGTTTGTCACTCCTCCCCAGGCTTTTGTCCTCTGCAGATATAATGCTTTTTGGTCTGCAACTGCTGCAGAGCTAAGCAGGTACAACGGGGGCAATGCTGCCTGGCCCTTTTTTGTGCTGCTATGGTGGTGTGAAGATCTCGTTCGCTAGCTGATTGAGTGGCCCTATCTCCACCCAGATGGCTGCTTCTATGGTGAATCCAATCTGCTAACTCAGGGGCAATAATCACACTAACTGCTGCCATAGCGTCTACCTCACCATTGTACTTGGTTTCCTCGGGATTACTAGTTGCATGGGCATCCACATGCCTTATGGCAATTTGACATTGGGTGCAGGCTTCCCAGATACTAGGCCATAGGGGCTGTCCCCATATTGGCTTGCCATGGATAGCCCATCCCGATGTATACCATGCCGCCATCCATACAATAAGACTCTTGTACACTGCCCAACTCTCAGTGTATATGACTAGAGGCCCTTCATTCTCGGTGAACACTAGATAGACTGCCCAAAGTTCAGCCCACTGGCTTGATAGTCCCAGGCCAGTCTCATACAGAATCTCTTTGACAGTCAGATTGAAGGCCACAGCTTGTCACCACCTCTCTGCCCCTTTGTATGAGGCTGAGCCATCAGTGAACCATGTGCGTTCTTGCTGCTCCGCTGTCAGCTGATTGTACAGGGGGGATTCTATGCATGGAGATTCTGGGGCTGTGGCTAGAGGGCTATGCTGCCAAGTATCCTTGGGGGTAATTCCTCAAAGGTGACAGCCCCTAAGAGACAAGTGTGAGCATCTGTGATGCCTGGTTTAGAGGCCTTCATGCATAGATGCAGATAATGTTTCCACTTCCACAAAGTTTGGACCTGTGCAGTACCACTTCTAGCTAGTGGACCTTCATCTCGGATCCATCCCATTATGGGCAAAGGAGTCAGCACTACCACTGGATCTGGACCTGTGATAGCTTCTGTTTGTTGAAGAGCCTGGACTACAGCCAGTATCTGCTGTTCCATCGGAGTGCATCGTTCAGCCGAACTCTGTAATGTTTTGGACCAGTATCCAATTGGTTCTTTACAGGTCGAGCCCTGTTGCCACAGACCCCATGAGGCTGTGTCACCTGCTATAGTGACTTCCAGCTGGAAAGGGGTTCCTCGTCTTCCTGGGCTCAGAATTGCATGCTGACTTAAGGCTTCTTTTGCTTGAGCAAAGGCTGCCTTCTGTTTAGGGCCCCACCCAAAGGCGGCTTTCTTCCTTACTATGTCCTGTATGGGCTGTAGAATGTACCCAAGATGTGGGATAAAGGTTCACCAGTACCCCATAAGCCCTAGGAAGGATTGGGCCTGACCTATTGACGTTGGTTCAGGGAAGTGAGTAATGGTCTCAATGGCTTTTTGTGGTATTTTCCCCTGGGGACCTGACCAGAGTATACCTAGAAAGACAATTTCATTGCTGGGGCTCTGTGTTTTCTTTGGGTTCACTACCCACCCTCTATCGGTTAATACATCTAGGACTCATGCCTTTGCTTCAACAAGGCTTGCTTCAGTGGGACCACTTAGCAAAATGTCGTCCATATAGTGTTCCATTATTCCCTTATTGGGCAGGGTCACCTGGTCGAGGTCCCTGCTTACCAGCTGGTGAAAAATGGTGGGGCTATGTTTGTAACCTTGTGGCTGCACCGTAAAGGTATATTGGTGGCCTTCCCAGGTAAATGCAAATTGATCTTGGCTCTTTTGTGTGATGGCAATGGAGAAAAAGGCATTTGCCAAATCTATTACCACATGCTAGCGTCCTATTCTGGTGGCCAATTGTTCCATGGTGGATACCATGTCAGGCACAGCCGCAGTTACCATCAGAGTTATGTAGCTGAGATTGTGGTAATCCACTGTCATTCTCCGGGAAGTGTCCTTCCTTTTCACTGGCCAAATAGGGCTATTAAAGGCGCTGGCTGCTGAATGACTGATGCTGGCCGCCAAAAGGCCTCGGACGGTATCTGTTATCATGCCCTCCTGGTATATGGTACTGTTTAGTGTTAACCACAGTGGTAGGCACTGGGAGTTCCACTGGGTCCCATTTAGAGTGCCCTCTCAAAATAGTAATAGCTGTTTTAATGCATAGGGGCTGCCCAAAAGAAAAGGGACCCCACTGAGTATTGATTGTTTTTCCTCAGAGTATATTGATGCCTAAAATATACTCTTGGATCAGGGTCACTGTAGTGAGAACGCCTGTGGAAGACCTGGCAAGGAGACAGTGACTGGCCGAGTACGTGGTAGCAGCCGCAGCATGTGAAACTGCACACTGACCGAATTCCCGGCAGGGGCCAGACACACGTAGTCCGTTCTGCCAGCAATGTCTAGCTGCTTCTCAGACAGTAGCTACTACAGGTTAGCACAGCAGAGATAAGGGAATAGTTCTAGTAGATTTAAGGGGCCCTTAGAATACAACAACGAGTTGAGGCCTGCCTGGGCGTCCGACCCGTCCGTCCAGCGGCCTCCCATCGGCAACCCCCCCGCGCAGTTCCC